GATGTTATTTAGAGCTCAGAGGAAGCAGATAAAGAAGTTGTTACAAGACATGCTTCACAACTACCAATGGCTTCAACTTTGATAAATTCCAAGGCGATCAAAATGACATTTTTCAATCTCTATTATTATTAACATCAATTGATTTTAAGTGTGTTGATCAAGATCTTTTTATTGTATAGAAAGGTTATAAAAGTTAAGACTCATTTGTATTTCTTTTTAAAGATTAATGAACATTCATTGACTAAACAGCAACATTTAAGATTCTTGATTCTTGGACGTTGAAAAATAGAACTACATACATGTTTTAATGTGTTTCATAATGTTGCAAAATCAACTTATTTCTTCATACTTTTAGATTACCCAGAGCATCAAACATACCATTGAGCAAGGTCTTGAAGAGAATTATGCGGAGGATGATGTCATGACAGCAGTTGGATCAGCTAATTCAGATTAAGGAAGCAATATGCAAGACTCGTAAGACGCGTCTGTCTTTTGATCTTTTATGAAAATAGATGTAAACAACAATTCATTTTAAAATGCAAACCCAAATAAAGGAAATGCATAAATTTTTTTCTTTTGTGCAGGTTACTAAAGAAGCAAGAGATTCATGTGTTCAAAGGAACATAAGTTAGAGAATCCCACAAAATTAGCAAACGTTCCTGATGTTACTCCTCTCCGTCAATTTAAATGTTGTTCTTTACATGATGATTTTATGTTCTTTGTTTCAACACTTTGCTAACTTTCTAGATTATAACAGAAACACAGAGTCATAAAGTGCTCGTGCTGGCTCTTTTGCTATGTCAAGGATTTGTGAAATTTTCCAATTTCTGAAGTTGAATGATGATGAGATGGCCTTACTTGCACAAGCACTGAAGCAATATCCTCAACTATTACTACTTCATTAACAACTTACCAATCAAATAATAGCTTTGAGTACCGGTTGACATTTTGGTCAGGCTATCTACTGAGACCCCATGTAAAATTACAACATCAGAAAAGTCAACCTCGGAGGCTAACCCACGTGAAGTAGCTTTTGTTGGCTTCGACAAAATCTGGGTTCATTCAGTTCGAGTAAGATTTTTTGTTTTTGACATGTCAGATGTCTTGGCGGCCGTAGAGGAAATTTAAGTAATGGAAGCTGAGCTTGAGACTCTGACATTGCCTTGAAACAAGTTCAAAAGCAAAGAGTAGAAGCCAAAGAGCGGCTTGCAGTGACAGAAAGACAATTGGAGATGACACAAACTGAGTTTGAAGGAATTGGTTCTCAAGAAATTGATTTCCAGGATAACAGAGTCTAAAGAAATAATAAGTTCCAAGATCAAACCCTTTGGCATTTAAGAGTGTTTACTCTTCTTTTTTTTTTGGTTATTTCATCTAAGATTGAACCATAATGCATATGATGAAGAGCAATATATATTTGCCTATGTATTGAACTAACTACTACTACCTCCGTGCTTAATATAAAAGCTAGTTAAATAAGTTGAGTAGATTAAGAAAATTAATTTAGTTATTTGTAATAAATAAACATTGTCTTCCTTAAAATACACATGCTAATTAATAATTATGTTGAAATATTTAATATGTGCAACTATTAGAGAGACTATTTTGAAAAATAATAGATAAATATAAAAGACAAAATAAACTGGAGTCTTATATTTATGACTAAATTAAATATCAAACTAACTTTTATACTAATAACTGGAGGTAGTCGGACATAGTTTAAACTATAATGTGTGCATAAATTTGGCCTCGTATTTTGATGGATGATCCTTACCACCTGTGATTGGTAATGATTTGCAATAATATGTGTACGTACAACAGGAAAAATTTACAAATATGTGAGAGGGCATGGCTATGTGCCTTCATCTTGCTTCATCATTTTGATCCGATCTGAGGATAATTTGGACATTAGAAGACAAGTTAGTGGAAAAATGAAGCTAAAGGGAATCAAATTAACATGTCGGTGGGTATAACTTCATTAATACAAAATCAGCAAATGAAAGAGAAACTTTTTTTAATTTAAGGTTGCTAGTATGTAAGAAACTTTTTTTTTTTTTTTCCAAAAGCATGTAAGAAACATTGCTAGTGTGCTCACAAGTAGAATGGCTAGTTGAAGAAAAACTTTACCAATTGGTTTGCGGATAAGTCACAGGATTAGTTCGTCAAACCTACTTTTGGAGAAACGACAATTTGGACCAAAAGAGCAAATTCATTAATGTCAAAATATCACTTAGTGATCAAAACAAGAATTTCAATATTAATTTACTTAAATATTGTTGCTATATGTTTTTTCCTCTCTAATGTTCCTTGTTAAATTTTCATTCCATATATCGTGGATGTAGAGATTTAGCACTCATCTTCTAAAATTTAAGATTGACTATAAAATGATTTGTGATTGAGTTTTCTAAAATTTAACATGACAATTTGTAAAAAAAAAAAATTATTAATTTATTTACCGAGTTACTAAGATTTGATGTTTTATTTCTAAATCTAGAACTGATCATAAAACGATTTACAACTGTCGTTTCATAATTTGACATTGAATATCGGAGAAAAAATAACGGTACACAAAATATAACAGTAGATAAAGCAACCAATGCTAGCTATTTGAAAGAACTACAAATTTTGAATTTTATCAGAAGTAGATAAAATATTTTATAAAGAATAATATTATTCAAGAGCTCAAAATTTGATGCTATTAATATCAATTAAAAGCCTCTTGGAATTCGAAGAACCTTCAATAGTAACTTATTATAAGAAAACAGTGAATTAGTAGTATTTTTATTCATTACAGACAAAAACTAGTCATCTTTTTTTCCTATGCATTATAAAAAATTGGAGTTGGGATAGAAAGGAAAATAGAGGGAGGAACAGGGGCGATAAAATGACTTGTATCCAACTTCATTATAATTTGTTGTTTAGGGGTGGACATATGTCAGGTTCTATTTAAAGACTTGCAGCCTAACCTGTAGGACCATCAACCATGCTGGTTATACTATTTCAAAACCTTGTTATGTGTTCTGACCAAAAAAAATCTTGTTTGTTTTAATTAATTAGTTACTATTACTCCCTCCTTAGTATTCAATTTGGTGCTTTTAGAGTTGGATCGGATTAGATGGTCGCACCAATTCGGCCAAAGATCTTTGGAGAGTGGGTTTTATGATCCAATAAAGAATCAAACCTATTTAAATATTCCCGCTATTCTATATTTCCTTGAAAAATATGCTCAACCTACAGGAACGGTTTGGGATATTTCACCATGTTTTTGTTATAGACCATTTTAGTGTTTGACCCTCATTGGACTTGTAAGAACCAAATTTTAAGCCAAAACTTGTTAAACTACAAATCAGGGTGAGTGACTAACGGCGAATGGTCTAACAAAAAAAGGTTAGTCCCTTATAATGTGACAAATCAAAGTTTGAATTCTTACTAGAAGAGGAGCTCACATTTAATATCCAATAGTGTTTTGAATAAAATCGCATTTAACAAGAAGATACTTATGTATAGAAAAAATTAATAAAGAGAGAAAAAATCAAGATGAGAGAAAAAAAGGCAAATTTGTAGGAAAAGCCAAGCTAATGCCATGAAAAAGAGGGGGGGGGGGACTTCAAGCCAGAAGAGAAATGAAACGGGAAATTTTGCAATAAAGTTGCATTCTTCAATAAACTTTTGTTATTACTCAATCACAAGATAGACTTAAATATTCCTAAGTTTAATTTAGCAATTTGCAGCAAAACTTTTGTAATAAAGTTGTTGCCTGCGCCAGACACTAACTAGCACAGAGTAGGGGATAGTCGGTTACTGATAGAGGTATGCTTGGGGAAAGAAATGATGTGCCTTTGGTGAAAAAAACAATGAAGAGCAATATGTAGCCATATAACAAGATTCAAAAATCTCTAATTTATCTTCTGACTTAATTAAAAATTTGTTAAAAGCGTAAATGTGAAAATAGATTTTGGTACTTCAACTTTATTTAATTAGAATTTAAAAAAAAGAACAAGGTATCAAAATATGAAACTCAAATAAATAAATTTATGCCATCCATGTTCAATTTAAACCATTATCAAGTTAAAAGGGGGAAAGAGACGGAGAGAAACCTAATTGATACTGAGAGGACATTACATTTTCTTTCCTAATTATTCGGACAAATCTTCATTTCAAGCCTCTACTTGGAAATTTTCTCGGGAAAAGAGAGAAGACAAAAACTTTCTTGTCAATATTCGCACTTGCCATTTTTTTTCCCTTTCTCTCACCAACGTGAAATATCGTAGCAATCAAATTTCCTCTGAATTCATCATTCAATTCAGTTTCATTTTGGTGTCAAACCTGCATAAAATTATTTGTTTCCCAAGTCATTTTCTTGCTTTGGAATCCATTTAAATCAAAGGGCGTATCTAAAATGATCAATACCAGTTTTCATGCATATTAGTCCAAGGTGATGAGACCTACGTCTTGATATTTTCCCTGATCTCTCAAAGATGATCAACCAGACAATCGCCTTGTCTCAGTTACAACACAGGCCAAGATCAATGATAATAGAACTACAATCCTATTTTTGTTTCATGAGAATTATCGGGTGGCATTCCGTATATAAATCAACTAATTTGAATTTGGGTCGGATCAAGAGCTACCATGAAAGAAGCCTCCTGCGTTGTGACTTTTTCATCCACATGATGACTTGAGGTGAGATCTTCTTCAAAAACATATATATCGAGTGCTTTTTCTCTTAATTGTTTTGTTTTCAAACTGTTTTGTATGTGAAATTACCAAGCTAGCCTTGAGTTCCAAATGAAAGGAATTCAATTCTTCCATCATGAATTTTTCATCCACGAGGCTCGTGCCAAGATCTTCTGAAAAAAAGATGAAGTCCCTTTCTTTTAACCCAATTACTCACTTTTTGATACTAATTTTGATGTCAAGTTTCAATGATTTAAAATCTCACTGTCACCTCAATACGAGATTATAGAGATTATTAATTATTATAGAGATCATCAATTATTATGGCTTCTCAAAGCCATCATCAAGATTCAAGTTTTGCAAAGAGAACATCAGATCAAGGACCCCTCCCAAGCAAAGTTGCTCAAAGTAGTGTGACATATATGTACCAAGCCAACATAGGAAGGTGTTGGCGAAATGTGAGCTTCTCATGGTGCAAAACCCTAATGAACCACACATTACATCTTACAATTGATAGCACAATTGGAAAACTTCATTACACTTGCAAGATGGACGTGAAGCCATGGAGTTTCTGGAGCAGGAAAGGCTACAAATCATTTGACGTCGAGGGCCACCAAATTGAAGTCTATTGGGACTTCCGATCGGCAAAATTCTCCGGCGGATGCCCCGAACCGACTAGCGACTACTATGTAGCTATTGTATCTGATGATGAGGTGCCATTGTTGGTGGGGGATTACAAGAAGAAAGCATACAAGAGAACAAAATCTAAACCAGCCCAAATTGAAGCCATGCAAGTTTTAAAGAAAGAAAATGTGTTCGCCAAGAAAACCTTTGTGACCAGGGCGAGATTCAATGACGAGAAGATGACGACGACGGCGATGACAAAGACAAAGATGAAAGAAAGTGAAGTTATCGTGGAGAGCTTGACGAGTAGTGGTGCAAGTGAGCCAGAAATGTCAATATACATAGAAGGAGTAAAGTTGATACATGTGAAGAATCTTCAATGGAAGTTTCGAGGGAACGAGACGGTGATGATTAATAATGAGAAAGCAATTCAAGTGTTTTGGGATGTTCATGCTTGGTTATTTAGTGGCTCAGAACAATCAGAAGGAGGAGGGCCTGGTGTGTTCATATTCAAGCCAGGATTTGCAGAAGCAGAAGAATCACAGACGAGTGATAGAGAAGGTTGGGATAATGATGATGGTAATTCTTCTGGGTATTATTCAACTAGAAATGCCTCCTCTGGATTTTGCCTTGTTCTTTGTGCCTATAAATTAGATTAAAGCCAAAGAGGAAAATGAAGAAAATTAATCAGATTATTTGTAGCTCAATTTAATTTCAAAGATTATTTACTTGCAAAGCATATATGATTCATGTATTTGTAAATATTCTCTTTGTCATCAACTATGCAGCTAGATGAGCATGTATGTATATTGTATTGCCATATTTGACATGTGAAAGAAATTTGGTCTATTTTTCTCTATTATTTTTTTCGGTGGATCTCTCTATTTTAATTTGTTCTTTGAATTATTGAGGGTGGCATCTTTAAAAAAAAAGACAAAATCAGAATATAGGACTCAATTTTCTTTTTGCGACAAAAGTCTATTTTATTAGAATAAAAAAATTATCAAATACCAACTCTAATAAAAAAATTCAAAAAAACCAACAAATCAGTCGGCTCACAGAAAAAGAACAAATGATCAGAAATAATCAACCGATCCCACTTATTTCCTCTCAGTACTGTAACTAAATAAGCTCTCGATGATTCCATTTCCTTGTCGACAAACGAAGGAAAAACCAGAAACAGTTGCCTTAGGAAAATACCTCCCTTCTAGAATTTTACACCAGAAATCTTCAGGATTCTTTATTAACCTCCAAGTAGGTTTTGCAAGAAGAGCTTTATTGAGATCTTGAAATGAAAATCTCTAAAGCCTAAGCCATCCTCCTTTTTTTGAAACAGTAAGGTAATCCCAACGCTTCCAATGAAGTTTACCCCTTTCTTCTTTGACTAAATTTTGAAATCTCATTGGTATATGCAAATTTTTTTTTTTAAACAATTAATCTCACATTTCCATCTAAATGTGGAATCAAATTTTTTTTTGGCGAAAGGAATCAATATTTTTTAAAAAAACAAAGTGACAGAAAACATCTCGATGTTTACCAAAAGAAAAAAAATCTATCTTGTTTGGAGACAAAAAGAATATAAAATTTGATGATAATTTTGCCAACGAGTCGTCAATAAGTACCCCTATAATTTTAGTTTATTTTCCAAAACCTAATGACTTAGACTGCTTTTCATTAAAAAATGTAATTGCGTAAAAACTATTATAAAAATTTTACTTTTAAGGGTTATTAAAGCATATAAAGTGCCGTAAATGAAAGCTTTATTATGAAACAAAATTTTGGAGTATATTCATGCAATATATTATTTATATCATAAACTCATATTATACCATATTAAATTTATACAATTATTCGTTATATTTCATAACAAACAAGCCCTTATAAGGAATATCATACTTAAAAAATTGTGAAAACAAGAAAGAAAAGCAAACACTAGTTTATATACATTACTTTATTAATTTATGAGTAAATATGTAAAAATACCTATAAACTTTTGTGCAAAGTGCACTTATCATCATAAGTTTTTGGAAGGTACAAAACTACCCATGAATTTGTAAAAGCATACCTAAACCAACACAGTTTCACAGTGGGGCTCACATTAATTTTATGAAAGTATGAAAATACCCCTTACTAAAAAAGATAAAAAATGAGTAAAGGTGCAAAAATATTCACAAAGCCAAAGTGCACTGAATATTATGCTTTTTTATAGGTACAAAAGTATACAAGTAAATTAATTCTTCTAGTTTTAGCAAAAAAAACCAATTAAATTTTATTATAGTATTATAATAGTAATAATTTTATGGTTAATATATACATTTGGTCTATTCAATTTGCATCAAGCTGTAATTTAGTTCTTTAAGTTTATAAAGTGTATTATCAGTACCATATTAATTTTAACACTATTGCTCTCATTAATGCAAAATGTTGATTTAGTGATTTAAATGATAACTCCGTAATTGAACATTAAAAAATTAATATTTAATTTATGTATTTACAATAAAATCTAATGAATGTGTGATTTTAATATTAACAACCCATCTTTCAATATATAAAATTATTATATTAAATGATTAAATTTTAAGCATGTTTTGTTGGCGTTTGAGTTTATTAAGTTAGTATTTTTCATTAAGGAGACCAACAATATTAAATTAATAGACAAAAAATATATATTATAAATTTAAGAAACTAAATTAAAATTTGATGCAAATTTAAAAGATTAAATGTAACCATAAAATTCTTAGTATTATAATAGTATAATAAAATTTATTAGTTTTTTTCCCGCTAAAATTGAAAGAGTTAATTTATTTGTATGGTCATATGTATTTTTACATCTGCGCAAAAGCATATAGTGTTTGGTGTACCTTGGCTAAAAATTTGTCGGTATTTTGCACATTTATCTTCCTTTTTCAAGTAACGGGTATTTTTGTACTTTCATGAAATTGATGTGGGCCCCACCTCAAAAAATAACTGCCATTAGCCAAACTTAACAAAAATGTGTCATTTTTGTCATATTTTTATAAGTTCATGGATACTTTTATACCTCTAAAAAGTTTTGGTAAAATTAAAAAAAAAAACTATTGAATTTCAAAATTTCAAATCAGAAATTACTACAAAAATGTATTATCATTTACTTTTCAAGTACAATCATTTTTTTTACGAGTATAGTGACTAACATTGATTTGAAATTTTAAAATTCAATAGTCAATTTTTTAGGATTTTTTCAAAAGCTTATGGTAATGGGTTTACTTTAAATAAAAGTTCATAGCTATGTTTGCACATAGGGGTGGAAGTAGATTAGGCGGCTTGTCAAGGACTTATAACATAGCCTAGTTGGCCTGGCCTATTTTAAAACAAGAGCAAGCCAAGGCTTTTTTTAAGGCTTGTTTCTTTTATCAAGCCAAGCCTAGACTTTCTGAAATGCTTGTTAAGCCTGATGGGAGGGTTGAGCTTTTTTTTTTTTTTTTGTTCCCATTTGATTCATCCAAGTTCCCTCCTATTTAAAAAAAAACTCTAAATCAATTCTTTTGGATCAGAACTTAGCTTTGTTTGACCGTGTTTTTTATGGAACTAAAACAAGAGAGTTGCAACATCAAATGACCTTTCAATATTTTGAAGAAATTTAGTTTCTGTTATCGGGGGAGAATACTCTTATTATCCAAAAACAAAAAAAAGCCTGAGAACAACGACAAGAATAATTTTAACAAGAAGGATGCTGATATTGAAAGGCTTAATGAATTAAAGAATTATAAACCCCGAGGGGTTAGGTCAGCTGGCTGGGACTGTCCTAGCTTAACTACAGGTCTCGAGTTCGAGCTATGGGAATGCAGCACCCTGAGGGGTCAGAGGGCGCCGACCGAAAGGTTCCTTGCAAGCCTTCGATCCAGATTAGTCTGGGGACGTTGTCACGGCTGAAAGACGCCTATTTCCCTGGAATACCGGAGGAGAAATCCAAAAAAAAAAAAAAGAATTATATTGCAATGAGAAAAAGTTACAGTGGAAGAAAATCATTTGGAGCCTTACGTGTCTTGCTATTGTGTTTTCTTTTCGTTTGAAATTCAGTCTCTGTCATCGAAAATACTTCCGCAAGGAGAATAAATCTCCAGAATTGTATTATACGCTCAAATATGCTTCCAGACCCAAATTTTGGGGGGGGGGGGGGTATGATTATTCATGACATCACCCATTTATAAAAGATCATTATTTCGTTGCCCAACATAACTGGTTTTTTTTTTTTTTTTGCCTTTTCCCAAATGAACCTCATATATAAACATGGAAATATGCAAATTTAGTGCACTCTAGCTCCATATTCAGTACCAGAGGCAATGTGATAGACGAAGAATAAATTGAAACACTTATTTGGTTTCATATTTTATGTTTGCGTTTTAGATAATTTGAATTGAGTTGTTATAATTTTGTATTGATTTATATATGTTTGAAATTTTTAAAAAATACAGGCTTTTTACCAGGCTTTAGGCCATGCCAAACTTGGTTACAATCAAGCCCAAGCTAAATAAAAAGCTTATAACAGGTCACAAGCAAGACTCAAGCTAATAGGTTTAAATGCAGGTCTAACCGGTTAAAAGTGAAACCTAGCCTATTTCCACCCTTATTTACACATCCACCCTAATTTATTAGTGCTCCCCCTTATCCATATCATAAGGCATTTTCTACAAATTATTTTTGTTCCCAAATACAAGTCATTAAGTCATTAACAGCCTCATGAATTACTTTTTTCTCATTTTATTCTTGTTATTAATGGAGATTTAAAGTTGAAATAATTAAATCACATGATTTAAAAAAGACACAATTAAAAAAATTTATTAATTTAGGACAAATTTAATGATTTAACTATCATTCTTTGGTATATAAGAATTTGTTAAAAATGTAAGACTCTTTCCCCCAAAACACAATAAACTAGTCATAAAATTACTACTATGGTACAAAAAGAAAGTTATTATACAAGCTACCATAGTAGAAAAGAAAACATGTAAATATTTCTAAAACTGGTAATTAGAATGTGGGCAGAAACCCAAACAAGTTGCATGTAACCAAAAATCTTTCACTCTGTCATTCAATCAATCAATTAATTCATTTCATTAGGCCCCCGAGCCTCAAGCTCGGGTAAATAAGGCATCACATAAAAGCCCATCCAACTATCCACATGAACATAAATTTAGAATTTTGTACAACAACAAAAATGGCCTTCGGCCAACAGAATATGAGTCAACATCTCTAGCTTATAAATGCACTATATCAACTAAAATATTTTCAAAATGACCCTATGTGTGACAATATACAACTATCAATACATCTACAAAAGCCAAAGGCATTACTGCTAAAAGTAGCTCAAGCCTTGGTGTCCCTCCCTGGAGGCGCATGTCTACAACTTTCACCTGAAAACATTATAAACCACGGGATGAGACAAAAGTCCCAGTAACCAACTTCCAATTCAGAGTACAAACTAAAAAAGTGCTCGTGAGGTGTCAAGTGAGGGCAGTTACATATAAAACTATAAGTAATAACAACAAAATCATACAAGTGCAATGATACAACCCATCAACCTATCCCTTACTTTGAGGGATTTTAAAGAGCTCAACCCAACCTATCCCTTACTATAGAGAACGTAAAGAGCCACAAAGGTATATCCCTCACTATGGGG